TGTGTGTGTGTGTGTGTGTGTGTGTGTGTGTGTGTGTGTGTGTGTGTGTGTGTATGTCCTCACCTTTCTTCCTCTCTCTGTTCGCGTCCTTCCTTTATGCCATTGTGCGTGGTACTTGCTGATGCTGCAAGTTGGGCATGAAAGGACAAGAGCTTGCGAAGTTCTGAGACGAGAGTCCCGTAGACCAATCCAGAGAGCCCAAGTCCCAGCACCAAGCGAAGATCATGCCACTGAGCGGAGTCGAAACTTGAAAGTGATGAGATGTCTCCGTGGATGGATTGCTCGCTTCTAAGCTTTATGCTCCAACGGACACACTCAAAATGGCCAAACAAAACTCAAAAGATGGAAGCACTACTCAAGATTGAACAGTCAGTTTTGTGCAATTAGAACGTCCGTTAATTTTGATGGAAGTGGCAGATATAGCCTATAGCGAGGCTCAGTGGCTCACATAGGTAATTGTTGTTCTTTAGCTCTTTTTCTTCTGCGCTCATCATTTCATTGAAACTCATTAACAATTTTGGTTGTTGTCAACTTGATCGTTGCAGAGTAGTCGGAGGGGCCATTACTGCGATCTGCCACAGGAGCACAAGCACCATGGTGCGACCCTTTGGAGTCATCCACAGCGAACCGTAAGTCTGATGCCAAACGGTGCTGATAACCCTTAGCCCCTTCTGCCTCTTCCATTCTCGACCCCTCTAAATAACCGGGCTGATGGTCCTGTGTTTCTTTCCCCCTCGAACATGCCCATCCCCGCCAAACGGTGCTGATAACCCTTAGCCCCTTCTGCCTCTTCCATTCTCGACCTCTCTAAATAACCGGGCTGATGGTCCTCTGCTTCCTCCCCCCTCCAACAGACCCATCCCCGCTGATGACCCTCTGCTTCTTCCCCTCTCCAACAGACCCATCCCATCCCAACCCACCCTCCCCTCCCCAACCCTTGGACCTCCTCTTAATACTGGGTAATTGCCCACTACACCATTCTTTCTCAACTGGAACCCTTTCTCCCCGGTGGCTCTTCACCTCGATCCCTCCAACCAAGATGACCCTTTGCAGCTTTGCCCCTTCCCTCTCCTTTTTTGGTCGTAACGGGCCCTTTACCACTC